TCCATATCAACCTGAGACTCCTTACTGCTCCTTTTCTATTATCCTACCAATGTAGCGATCGAAAGTGAGTCGTTGTGGGTCTGTACGTAGGGAGCCGATCTCTGCTTTCTACTGCATAGCTGGTCAAAACTTCCTTGAGACACGCACAATCACAAAAAGCGCCAAAGATAGCAGAAAGAGGATTTCGATAAAGAAAGGAAGACGAAATTTGCAGTATAAAATGATACCGTCATTCTATTTCACAGGTTCTCATCAGCTGCTGTAGACTACCTGAAATTACAATGGTTATATAAATGATAATAACATACTTTAATGTTTGAGTAGTAGTAGAGAAGAAAAACTGTAAAACTGACGCATCCAAAATGTAAGATGTAAGCATTACAATTTTTAGTTTAAGTTTTCATCATCAATTTGTACGCTTTTAAAGTAGAAAAAAGGAGGGAGGGGCAAGGCAGAAAACAGAAAGAATTAACAAACAGTATTAGCTTATAGGTTCACACAGCAACTCGAAAAACAAAAGCGGTTAGAGTTTATAATACTGAGATTTGCTCAGTGAACTGAGACCAGTGAATTAGATGACTAATTAATGTAATCAAAACCAAAATTCAGTTGATATAAGTATATTCAAAAATTCAAAATTCAGTTATCAAGGCAATGAAAGATTAATAACACTCTCTTTCTGTATGCATAAGACTGGTAGGTTTGAATCGTTTGATTGCGATCGCTTCGGCAAATCGTAGTGAATTTGCTGTCTTTTTTTATTACAATACACAACAGTTTACCAAACAAGTGGCACTGATATGTTTGTTAACAATAACAATTAAACAGTGTCAAAATGTCAATGGGTTGATAATTAACGAAGGAAATCAATACACATTTAAAAGGTAGAAATGGTTAGGATAAATTAATTTCATAAGAATAACCCGTAATTAAAGATGAAGTGGTCAGAAAAAATAAAATAATTTGGACAATTATAATTTCTTATAGTTTTTAAAAGTTTAGGGGGAGGGAGGCGACGTAGTCCTTTTTATGCATTCTTCTAGAGATGGTCACGGTAAAGAAAGTGGCTGTACAAATTTGTTCTGAACACATGGGCTTGGCTTCTTAAGGTGGATTCCAATTGCTTCAGCTCTCTGTAGAAGACGAACTCGTAGAGCAAAATAAGGATTAGTCGGAATGCGATAAATAATTTTAAATGCAATACTAACATCAGCCTTATGCTCAGTATCAACAAGATGTGCTAAAATAGAACTACGAATAGATCTTGTTTGTCTTTTGCTTAACCATGCTGGATGATGTTCGTAAATACGACGATGAACGTGTCTAATTGTGCGCCCAATGTAGCTGACTCCGCAGCTGCAGTCAAACTGGTAGACACACATAGAAGAGGCGAATTTAGGTAGTTTATCCTTATTTCTCGAACATAGAATAGGGGTGGTTGTGAAGAGACAACGTACCTCTGCTGCAAAGTAAGCTCTTTTAACAGCATTCTTCAGGCGCTGTGTTATGATTTCTCCGATGTTGTCACCGAGGACCTGCAATTTTATGAACACTGGTTTCTTCAGAACTGTAGTCATACTGACTCTCCTTGGTGCTGAATTCATATTTTTCTCCATGAATTTATCTGGATAACCATTTTTTCTAAATAATTCTCTAATAATCTTAAGCTTCTCATTGAGGCAGTCGTCTTAACAGATTAACTTAGTTCTATGAACCAGACACTTTATCAAGTTACGTTTATATTTCAAAGGTACAAAGCTCAAAAAATGAGTGTATTGACCTGTTGTTGTAGGTTTCCTATACACACTTCTTCTTAGTGTGCCATCTTCTTTCCTTGCCATGAAGACATGTAGGAATGAGATACTGTCCTTAGTTTCTTTCTATATGGTAAAGTTTATTGCTGAATGTGCATCATTAAACTTGTCACGGATGTTCATTGCATCATTCTCGTCTTTTATAACCACACATGTATCATCCATATATCGACAGTAGAAATCCATGTCATTAATTACTCCTTTCAGTGGTCAATTCTCTAATTTGGCGAGGAAAAAATCGGCCAGAATTGGACATAATGGGGAACCCATAGCTGCACCATCAATTTGTCTGTAATATTCCCTATTGAATAAGAAATGAACATTCATTGTACATCTTAAAATAAGTTCCTTCAAGGTGGATACAGAAATCCCGATGTCTATTTTTCGTGTAGTAATCTCCTCACATATAAAATGCACTGTCTCCATTAACGGTTCATTGGTGAACAAGGAGGATACATCAAAAAATATCATAAACTTGTCCCTCACATTAAGATCTCTTATTTTTTCAACAAATTTAAAACTGCCGTTTACGCTATGTTATACCAATTCATTATGCAGAGGCTTTAGGAACTTCACTAGCCATTTTGCTGTTGCATGATATGGGGAATTACACATGTCCAACACTGGTCGAAGCGGCAAACCAATTTTATGCACTTTCGGTAGTCCATATAATCTTGGTGTAACCGTGCCAGTAGGCTTTAAAGATTCATATAAACCGTCTTTCTGTTTTCTAAATGTCTAAATGGGGATTTTTTTCTATATTGCTCTCTTTTGTCTATTTAATATTTTGAAGGACTTAGAAATCTCTACAAAATGTCCACTGTTAACAATATGTTTGGTAATTGCACTCTGATAATATTTACTTCCTTTCAGGCACAAGTTTATTGGATGCGTCAATTTTATGGTATTTCTTCTCTACTACCACTCAAACATTGAAGTATGTTATCATCATTTATATAACCATTGTAATTTCACGTGATCTGCAGCAGCTGATGAGAACCTGTGAAATAGAATGATGATGTCATTTTATACTGCAAATTTCGTCTTTTTTTCTTTATCAAAATTTATCAAGCTAACTAAATGCACGAAGTTTTTAAAAATAAGATTATTCACCATAGATCTATGTGTTCCTGTTCAAAAACAATAGCAACAAGAACTCAAAATTGCTTCAATATTGCCGTCAGGAAGCCTTGATCACAAAACAATTACTGTAGAAAACAATCAGATGACCAAAATTCAAATGTAAGAAATAACATAGAATCAAGTGGATCATCTCCAACAATTTGGGATCAAAATCTCTATCTACAAAAATCACACACCAACAGTACCTGAAGACCATTCAAGTTTAGAATGACCTTCATTTACTCAGTCAAAATCACATCATAAAACAATACACTATCGATGTATCACTCAACCACAAAGGGGATTATTAAACAGGCGCGAAGACGAATAATAGGGATCAAGACAACATATGATATCCAGTGCACTTTTGGACGTTAATTCTTCAGTTTTTCTGCATTCTGCTTTTGCCTGTCATATCTCATATATAATAAAGTAAGATGAAATGAAACTTCTAAACGCAACACAAATCTTTTATGACTAGCGATTGGATAACGCCTACAATATGGAGAACACAATTTGGCCAGCTCCAAATAATCCCTTTGTTTTTATGTACTGAATAGAGTTATTTGTCAACTTGATTTTATCTATGTAGCGTAGTTATGGTAACGATTGTCTTTGAAGGATGATACGTCAGATGACAACCCCACTGATTTCCACTCAAGAAATTAAGCAAGGGCAGTAAGATGAATGTAGGACAGATGAGTGAAAATATCAAGTCATCCGTTTTACCAATGAGAATCAAATTTCAATGGCGGGAAGTTAGGAATTTTCGATTTTTTAAACAATGAATGCCAGCGTTTTAGGAAAAAAATACCTAAAGAGATTTCTTCCGATACTATCAGTTCTAAGCTTTATGTGTTTGTAAAATATATTTTGTTATTTCATTTTGACGTCGCCGTTTGTCGTTTAATTATCATTACCCTTTTTTGTGACGTGTACCTGTGAAACACTCCGCTTGCCAAATTAGCCAGTGTATTTGTTCATGTAAAAAAATGGGAATATATTCGTGGCCAATATTATTGAACAAGCATCATCAATCCAACTAAGTTTGTTTAAATATAGTTCGTAGTACAATGGAGCCATTCTCCTGTATCGTTTCCATCAGATTCTGTGGAGACAGTTAATAGATTGACAGAAGTCCAATTTTTCAATTATAGAAAATTGAATATTTCAAGCTTAATAATGTTTGATTTCACAGAATTTGATGACAGATGCTGACGAGGCAGTAGGTGTTAACAAACTCATTAGTTCATACGATGCTTCTGGCTTATTGGGCACTGATATAGAGAATGGATGAAACATACAATACCTTGATAGAGTTCTATCCTCTCATCTTTATTGATCCTTTGAGTTTCTAGTGGAACATAGGGCTTCAACTACACGTCGCCACTTGCTTCTGTCTTCTGCTGTACCTTTCACTTGCATCCATGTTAGTTCATACTGTTTCAACTCTTCTTCACACGATCTCCTCCATGTCACCCTTGCACTGACGTCCCAC